GGCTTGGGCTTCCCGTCCTGCGACTCTGATGAATCCGTGCCGGACTTTAGGCCTTCATTTGATAGTTATCTTCCCAGCCAAAAACTATCAGTTACGAAAAACTTTACTAAAACGTTAAATTAGGATAGGTAGCAAGCCTAAATCATGAGCACTTCTCATACGTAATTTGGCGATCCTAACCCTTGCGATATATGCCAACCAAGTACATACTCGTAAGCCATGCAAAAGTCCACCATTAGACCCACTAAACGGTGATTCCTCATACAAAGCCGCTTCAGCCGTACAGCACCAATAAGAAGCCGATCTTTACTTCGAGTATAGTAAGAAGCAGAAAGAAATTCTAACTGAAGGGAATTTGTCCGCAGGATCACTCTACGAACGAAGTGATGTCTTGCCTATACCAGAGCCAGGAGGCCGTCTTAACAGCATTAATATTTACCGAGGCATAGTCTTCTACCGTATATTCCTCGGGATGACGATCGTCACACGTCTCCACGTACCGCCATCTTTTGATGTATAAATCCTACAGCTCTTATATCTTACCAATCGATCTCACGCCATATCCCCTATACCATACCTCTGAAAGTCATATCACAACGAAGTAAACCTGTTGAGTGAAAATTTTGAATAAATAGAGACAAAAATATATTTTGCGGTGCTAGCAACAGCTCTTTAGTCAGTTAAGCTAACTTAGCTAATTTATTTTACTATGAGAACTCCTTCATTGAGAAAATTTAGGCTTAAACGCAACCTATCGAATTACTCATAAGAGCAGAGAATTGCTTAAATATATTGAGCCCCTGCATAATTTAAAAAAAATAAACATTTTCAAGTAATTTAACTGCACCTTTAGTTTGTTTTTTTAATATTATTCTGCGGATATATTTAGAAAGCCACGCATTTCATGAGATACGCAAGTGACTTTACTGTATCGAACTAAACTATGTCCAAAAGACATTTCTTTGTAATTCACGGCAAAAGCAAAGGCCCCAGTAAACTTCGGCAACCAATGCAATTATAACGGTTATTTTGAATCATATAGCGAGGTGGTAAGGATAAATAAGCTTAATGAAGATTATTAAAAATTTATTTTTTAAATTAATGCTCATAGGAGTTTCCATCTGTCTCCAATTAGTTGGATTACGAGTTTGTCGTTTATGAGATAGTAGCTTATCGAATTATATGGTATTTAAAGAGGATTCGCTTTAAGTTTCAAGTTGGGGAAATTGACATTAAGAGGGATCTTTATAGAGTAGTCATTGTAAATATTAAGAATGAATCTCTAAGTTCATCGGCATGCTGATTTCGCAGAAATGATCTGATGAAAATTTTAGCAATTCCTATGGGAGCATAATAAGGGAGCATCTGAAATTATTCGACCAAACTAGCCAGCAAATAAAATATTCTGGCTTAGATGTATTTATCTAGGGTTAGAGGATTATATTAGGCTGAAGGTAACAAGAAATAATAGAATAGAAGGCAGAAGTCAACTTACAGTATGGCAAAGTGGGATGAGCAGATAATCGATATACTGCAGGGAGAGAGCGCTTCAAGATCTGAATAAGAGATTCAATAAAATAGTGATTAAAAAGCGAAATGTCGAGTAGATGAAAGCGTTATATTAGACTCATGCTGTTCTTTGTTTAATGCAAATAAATGTGAATAAAACTTGAAAAGTACAACAGATTAGAAAACCGA